TCTCTGACGAGCAGTCACCAGCCACATCGACCTGATCAGTGTTTGATTGTTGTGTCTTGTTGCTTTTCTTCTTTTGTCTCTCCTCTATCCACTCACCCCAACCGGTCGAGGCAGAAGGCCGCCCACCAAGAGCCGGGGTCTGTCGGAGGTTTCTTCCTTTAAAGGGAGTTTTTCCTCCCCACTGTCGCCAAGTGCTTGCTCAAGGGGGATTTGTTGGGTTTTCCCTATGTAATAATATTGATAACAGTAAGGTCTAGACCTTACTTTGTAAAGTGTCCTGAGATGACTTTTGTTGTGATTTGGCGCTATACAAATAAAATTTGATTTGATTTGATTATTATCCATAGAATCTGAGCGTACCATAATGTATTTTCAATGAGTGTAATGTGTGCCAAGCACCAAACTTCAAACTGTCCATATCACACATCATGCCAACATCTGTCCTGGGCACTTGAAGCCTTTGTTAACAAAAAGACATGTCTATAAAAGACATTCATGTTGCACTATCACTGCCAAGTAATGATGATATGAACTGGCTGATATAACTGACTAGCTATTTGCTGAAAGCGTGGACATATGGGCATGCACTTTGCTTTGTGGGTATGTATACTGTATATACAACTTTTAATTATGAGTCCAACTTTTGGATGACTAAAACATGTTTGATTCACAAGTTTGCTTTTCCCACATTATTGCCTTCTAATTAGTCAATTAAACGAACTCAGATAAATAGTGTTAATAGAGTAAAAATAGAAAAAAGTTATTTAGCTCAAGGCCTGTAATTAATGCAGGAATATTGCTATTGGTGTTTGCACCGTATCTAGACTTTTCTTGCAGGACGTCTGTGTACATCTGTATGTTTGTCTGTGTTCTCATCTACTCATGCATATTTGCATAGTGAAGTCTTGGTATGTGTGCGGACATTCTGCACACCTCATCCATAGAGTTCCTCAGTAAATCAATGCACATTCAATGCTCATTATGTGTCTAAGCCTCATAAGCCTCGGCCATGAAGCACCCGCTTCTGAATCACACTCTCTTTATGTTGTCGCTCGCAGACTGCTTCAACATTACCCTGTTTAGGGTGGCTTATCTTCGCTGTTATCATCGCACACTATCAACCAATGAGGCGAAGCAGCTTTTAAAGGCTCGGTTCTGGTCTCTTTGTGCTGCCACTGCATACTCTGCTTGTTTGTCTCACCAGCTGAGGTCAATGGGAGAGGGAGTCTGTGTGCTGAATACGAATGCTGAGGAATAGGAGGGCGAGAGAGGAGGGGGAAGAAAAAGGGAGGAAATCTTCCAGGGGCAGCCTCTGAGTCAGGAAATTACTTGGTAACACCTCCCCACCCCCACTCCCACCCCCCCAATCATTTGACAGGGTCGGTGTCTAGAGGCGAACTCAGCCCCTAAAGCACAGCCTGTTTGATATGCAGCTCAGTGGAACAACAAGGCAAGCGGCCAGACGTGAACAAAACAGCAAGTCTTATGCATACTCACGAACACACAGGCACTCGCATGTTCCTGCAAAAGCTGGCTCATACACACTACTATGTGTACTGTGACATTAACATGAGAGCAGGGAGATAAAAAGCTAAGAAATGCAAAGGCTGAGGGAAAAGACAAACTGAAGAGATTAAAGGACAAGCAGGTAGTGTGAGCAAAGGAGGGCAGAAAAGAGGACACGTCTGATCCATAAGACCTCAAAAACAAAAATGTTTGTCTATTTACAATGAACATACAAAGCTAAATCTCAGAAATCAGATTCTGGAAACTGTGTCATTTCAGTCCAAATACTGGATAATGTTCAGATATTACAATTATCAGATGGTAATGTCAGTGAGGCTGGAAACACACTGCAGTCTAATTCCAGCAGGTGCAGCTTATTCCAGCAGTTTGATGTGGGGGTTGCACACAGGGTCTTCATACTTGGATCAAGCTAATGATTACTGTACCACCTGACCCTTGTGACAACACCAAAATGACATTTAATAATGGCTTTCTGGTTCAACCAAATGGAGACCAATTAGGGGTTTAACACAGGAACCAGCAGCAAATCCTCCAGTAAACATTACTATTATCTATTTAGCTCTATTTTACAGAGCAGAACACTGTTTTTGTGACCAGGTATCAAATGGAAAACAAAATATTCTCCATGGGCCATAAAGTCTGCTTTTTTTCACTCTTTAATTTCAACAGGCATTTTGATAAGAGCACAAATACACTAAAGTTTGACTTCTGAAGAGGAAAAGGAAAAGGTAAAAGAGTTTTCAAAAATGTTAGCCTATTGAATCAATTCAGTTTTTGCAACAGTCATCTAAGTGCAGACGTTAAATATGACAGAGGCTACAGTGCAGTTTGCAAACCTTGCTCATAAGTGAAACAATCCCAGAGGACTAAAACAATATCTCGACTAAAATCCTACCTTGATTCATAATTAAATTCCAAGATCTACATTTACATTACATTCTCTCACAAGGACCATGGTGTTAGCTGACAAAGAATGAGAAGAATGGAAGAAACATTATACAGTGAGTAAAACTAAGCCTTTGAAGCTTAATGTACCTCAACAAGAGGAGTGTGTGCAGGCTGAATATGGAGACTGGAGAGTAAATTGAGAGAGGAACATCCTCCCTTAAACCTAAATGACTACGACCGTTCATCATGCCTCGCACTGCACAAGCTGTGTTTGTTTTTGCATATGTTTCACTGTGGTGGTTTGCATTGCACATTTCCATAATTGCATCTGCTGTGGGAAGAGAAGCACTTATTCTCATTTTCAGCTGTGATTTATCAAACCGAGCGATACGAGCCAGTGCACACATTCATTCATTCATCTGCAGTGACCTTTCTCCTGAGCAAAAGAACAGCTGCCATCTTTGTTTGTTTTTCAACTGCATATGTGAAAGCTGTGATGTAAGTGCATATGGTGTTTTCATTCAGTTTCTCATTTGTGATAATCTTCATATGGACATAGCGATTAATGGATGCTGAGATAAAAGTACACAACAGAAGCTGAGTATCTTTTCAATTTCTTCCTTTCAAAAGGTCGGTTTACCTAAAATGATGTTGAGTCAAAGAGAGGTACAAACTAAAGCTACAGCAAAGTGAAGGTTAGCTTTGAAAATAGTTGCTGTTGAGAGCTAATCAAAAATAAATAAATGTATTTGATTTCCCTTGAAATATTAATCTCAGCAAGGTTGAAAGATTTAAACACTCCCTGTAGAAACACAGATCAAGGTGAATGTTTGACTGCAGTGTTAATACTTTTTAAAACACAATACTACTATACTAAGAGTCTTTGAGGCTTCATATGTCAGTTATAATATGAAAAACAAATGCATTGTACAAACAGGCATTTATCATTTAAAAGGAGCTTACTGTATGTGTTTACACTGTGTTTTCAAAAGGAGGGATGAAGATTAATCATCAACTCATGAATGTAAATGTTAGCATCTGCCTTTAGACAGACCCCGAGCAGCACCACTAGCATGAAATGGCTATAACTGCTACGTTTCATGTACGACAGATGGGAATGATTATGCTTGCTTTTATTTTTATGAGGACATATACAAGTAACTGCCAGTTAATGTCAGCTATTTCATTTAGTACTCAACCAGACTAAGCACAAATAGACCATTTTCGTCTATATAAATAAAAATAGTGACATCTTAATGGTTACATAAAGACAAAAAAGGAGACAAACATACATGTACTGCTGAATGTTGTATTTGCTGCAGGAAAACACCAATAGTTATGGTGAAACTCCAGTTTAAAATGAGATGTTCTTCTGCAAGCTGGGGTCATTTTTGTTGTACTAAAACCCTCGTAAACCTCAGTGAGAGAACAACCAGTGTGAGAACACAGATACATTTCACTTCCATTTAAGTTGACATTTGGCAAATATACGGTTTTCACTGGAGAGTAATTACTGTAATGTCACATTCAGACATACATATAAAACTAAACAAACATTGTCACAAATATAGATTTGTATATTTAGATGAAATTCAGAATAAATAAATAATAGTTTACATACTTTCTGTTATTATGGCTATGCCCCATCTGTTGTATTTTGATTGGCTGCAGCAGAGCTACCTCAGATCAAACCAATCTGCTGCTATCCAGCGAATGCAATCTAATCACGCAGCTAAATAGAATGAGTCACACTGTAACACAGTGACAGGATAAGGATAATCTCAGCACAGAACATATCAGGGAATTTCATCTATATTTTCTCATCAGCTTTATGTCTGTATAATGATCTATTGGCTCTAAACGTGTGGTTGGGACCTCACAAGTGGCCAGATAGTTCTGAAAGGTTGCAAGATGATGAACAGGGTGGGAAAGCAGGTGCCGATTCAATTTATAAAAAACTGACTGACTGCAAAAGTGGCATCTTTTAAAGGAATAACAGCCAGAGAGATTAGATAGTTTTAAACTAGTATTTCCTGAATGTACAAGGGTTCCCGTGCAAAGTTACAATAGATTTTAATGGCAACATAGTCAATAAGGCGTCATCTCATCTCTATGATAATTCCTGTTGCATGCTCTATATATTTTTTGCCCCAGCCCTGCTTTATAATGATGCACACACACAGAGAGCCAGATGGACTTTTGAGCAGTATCTACCTTGTCTCCATCCATGAAGGTCTGGCCATCGCTGGCTCTCCTCCAGGAAATATCAGGCAGAGGCTCACCCTCAGCCACACAGGAGATCATGGCGGCGCTGCCCTCCACGGCTGTCACATTTTTCAGCTGGGTGATATGGGGCTGGACTGCAGGCCACAGAGGATGACAGGAGAGGAGGAAGTGAATAAGATAAAAAAAAATTAAAAAAGTGAGTAAAGAAGAATAAATTGAAAGGCACTGTCATGATTCTCTATATTTCCTGTTTGTTGCACATCCATTTTCTTTTGTCGTTCTCTTGTCTTCACAGATGCTGCCCTGCCCACTTGCATACCTTTGTTTCTGTTGCCCCCCCACACACCTGTTCCAGGATAAGACTGTGGCTAGTACTCACTTTTCACTAGACCGTCAAATCACTTCATGCCAGAGACTCTCAAGCTGTCTGCCTCCAGGATGTTGCCTACATCTTGCCTTCTTGTTGCTGACCTGTAGCCACTTTGATATTGACCCTGATCTCCCCTTACCCGAACTACCTGCCTTTTTTGGTAACAAATTTCAGTTGCCTGCCCCTTGCCTGATTTGTTTGCCAATCTGCCTCCTGCGCACCAGACTGACCTTACTGAGGCCGTCTGCTGGTCACCTATGCAACACCAAAGACTTTGCCCACTCTCCTGAGTAGTTATCTGAACTGCTCCAGCTCTGTATGCTGTGATTCATCCTGAAGGCCTGAAGATGCTGAAGATCTTGTTACTGTGTGCCCTGCCTAACCTGCAGCTTTTGGTTTTGATACGTTCTGTGCTGAGATTCACTTACCTGCTTTTGACCATTTTCTTGAGCGCTGCTTTAAAGACTGTCCTAACCGAAAGGTGTGACTCTGTGGTTTTGCATTCTGAACACAGAAGCCTTACACGCAGGGGGAATGGGTGTGGGAGAGGAGGGGGAAGTGAAAAGTAAAAGGGTGAGCATGGAGTTTAAACACAGAGGTGATGCATGACTTTGATACTGACTTTCCAGGCCAAGATCATTTATACACTGCAGTCATACTCTCCAGGTTTGGCACAGTGGGACACCACGTTGTCTGGTCTACTGTACTTTGTGCAGATTTCTTGGTCTAGATGACACAAAAACTGACTTTGCCAAAGTTTTAAAGCATAAAACATATCAATCCATGTTCCACATTTTCTGGAAGGATGCCATTACAGCACTGTGTGATTCTCTTTTGACACAAAATGAGTACTGCTGTAAGTGCTGAAAAGAGTGCCACTGGGTTCTGCTCCCTGCTTGCCTCCTCCTGATAAGATGTTCTAAGCAAGCCCTGAAACACATTGCATGGCAGGGGCTCAGACCATGTCACATGAATCATGGATTGCTTCTTTTTCTCACACACACTGCACTCAGGCCCTTAACAGGGTGCTTGCAAAGTAGCATGGCATAAAATCCAAAAGGGAAAGGCAAGTGAATGGAAAATGGCAACTACTGTACTGGAGGCTTTTAACACAGCCCAGGAGGGATCTGGGGAGGTTTTGGCAATTTCATATGGCTTCAGCCTTGGGGTGGAGAAGCCATCTTGAGGGATTTAGGGAGCTTGTCAAAACATGGGGTTACAAAGACACACACAGGCACACACGCATATTGTATTACTATACCTGCAAAAACCTTCAGTGAATAGATCAACGATCTAAGAATAGAAACTACCTAAGCACTATATACATAGCTACGCTATAGTTAACCTAATCTACTGTAACTGTATTCTCAAAGTATAATTACAGTTAACTGCAACACAGGTCATATTTTTGTAACCACTTCAATCACTTATTATAACACTGAACTCACTAAGACCTGAGGACATGGTAGCATCACTAAAAACAAAGTCAAACAGGCCAAAAAAAATACAGTGACAATCTGACTGCTAACAAGCCAACAGAGGAGTAAGAACTTGGTGACAGCTTGGAGGAAAAACTCCCTTTAACGGAAGAAACCTCTGACAGACCCTGGCTCTTGGTGGGTGGCCTTCTGCCTCGACTGGTTGGGGTGAGTGGATAGAGGAGAGACAAAAGAAGAAAAGCAACAAGACACATAACAAACAACAACAAACAATCAAACACTGGTCAGATTGATGTGGCTGGTGACTATATGACATATGACAGCTAGTGCATCTTTCCACACTGGAATTTGTTCTAGTGTTATGTCTGTACTCTGAGATTTCAAGCAATTAACCAACTGGTCAGTACAATATTATCACATGCAATAGCAATGGTTGCTAAAACCAAAAAAGCCCCACATTTAAATAAATTGTAATAATCTCTTAATAACAAACACAAGTCTTGTAAAATTCCAACACCAGCACTAACAAGAGCACCCACCCTAATGAGTAATTTAATCTACACTTTAGTCCAAAAATCTTGCTTTCCTAAAACAAGCTGATTTGCCAGTAAACAAGGGTAATTTCACTTGTTTCCAAATCAAATCAGTTTGCTTCAAAAATCATCCAGAATGATGTGCCATGGTCTTGATAACACTGCAACAAGCTGCCTGATTGTGCTTTGTGTTAAGACAAAAGGAAGCTGCACAGTGGGAACGAGTGAAATTACCTCAACACAAAGTTTTTCTTGTTGTAAGCAAAATAACGGCTCCCAATGAGACTGAATGACATGTAAAATGATTTCTGCATACAGGAAGATGTGAAGAGCACTTTAGATGATGAACCTTATACTTCCACTCAATTACACAACACAAAACCCAGTCAAACCCATTTAAATCCCATACACATGCACAGATAAACCTATTAATAGTACGGAGACCAGTCTGGACCAGCTCTTCTTTGCCACTTTATCTGCAACTATTTTGCCCCAGATACCCTTCATCAAATATTAAATGGAATATGTTTCAATTATCAAGTATGGCGCAAAAACCACTCTGCAGGGAATATAATTAATAACGCATTATCTAAAACATTTCAAAACGAAATGAGAAAGAACTGAGAAGCATTTCTGTGCTAAAAGATAATTAATTAGACCTTCCAGGTTTGGGAAATGTTCACAGAGTTAGTTTGATTTCTAAAATAAAGCCACAGTAAGTTTCTCTATAACCTGCTGTAATTAAAAACTAGAGTATTTTACACTAACATTTAATAACTATAATTACACTTGATTGTATTAATTAAAGATATTATAATAATTATACTTGCAAATGTTGCATTTAGCTATCTCTGTCGGTCCTGATTCTCATAAAACATGCATGCATAAAACAACAGACTCAATCCTGCCCTCAACCTGTGAAAACATCATTAATTATGTGAGTATTACAACAGAAACTGACATAATGATATAACTGAGCTTTCTGATATTAGAAAAACACACACACACAGTTTTGGTACAGTTTGACCAATTGTTGGCTTATAAAAGGCCATGAAAGTGTGTTAGTAATGTTTACTTTGACATTTCTTACCTGCTTACAGACAACAGTGCAGTTAAGCTGTATTTGCATACCCTCTATGGTAACATCTTACATTAGATAGATTATCTCACCCACTGATGAATATCTGAAAACAAAATATGATACTGACTGTATCTGATGACAATAATGTTTGCTGGTTGTTTCAGCAAATGTCAGCATAGATTCTCTCCAGACCTGCCTGATGTCTCATATAACTCTACTGAGTTTAGAGAAAAATCCAACCCCAGACATTCTTGTATTAGATATATATCACCAGTCTGTGACTTTCAGTTTATTTATTCAGTTATTTTGTGGTGAAATGTGAATTTACCATTTTCTGCACTCTTGTCTCAGTCCTCTCACATTTTCCATAAAGAACAATGAACAGTATACAACGTGTCTCCAGTCAAGACAAAGGAAAAATGCAAAAAGAACAATAACATGATGTATTCATCCAACTTGTTCAAATGATGAAAAACATATTAAAGTGGATGGTGTATTTCACAGGCTGGTGTCAACATGTCTAAAAAATGCAAACTGTGGCCGGTTGCAGAGGAGTGTGAGGTGTCTGCAGAGAGACTGGTTTCTCTGCTTCTTCTATGATAAACTGAATGCTGTTGCAAAATGCAGAGTTTATAAAGAACCAGCTGGCTCTTTTGCCAGAACCTGACATTTACTGCTGAGGCTTCAGATAGCTGAAAAATTCTGTACTGAAAAAGACAGCACCTAACAGAGATGAAAATAATTGTAAACATACACATATGTATAACAGAAACTGCCACATAAATGTATCTTAGGAGAAGTGTAATTCCAGATTTACTTTAGTGTGTTAGCATGCTGGAATTAGGACAAAATAAAGCTGAGGCTGGAGGGAATGTCATTCATTTTGAGGGCGATTATTGGAGAAATAAAAACTAAGACCTGATGATGTCACTAGCAAAAAGGATAAGGGATCACCATGTCTAAGAACTAATCATATAATTCAGTGTAGTGATTATTTAACAGTATACATAGTGGACTTTATCTTTTAAAGCACTAGATGACCCAGAGTCTAAAAAGGCTAGACAACCTAACATGGTCTCTGAAAACTGTCAGTAGCTGGAATGACCAACACCTCTGGCATTTACGACTAAAGGGCTGCTATGGTGACTCTACACAGCATCCAGATGGCACACTGTGGTGGTACTGGGCGCCCAGATATGAACATTTTGAAGTGTGTTACCACTTGTTTGTGGTAACACACAGTCATGGGTCTACATGCAGAAAGCCATCTGTGAAGGTGAATTTTCAGCAGCAGCAGAGGAAGCTCATCCTCTGATGTTATATGAAAACTTGTCTTGAAGAAATTATTTTCATCTCATTTCGTGCTGAAGAGCTTATTGCCTGTTCCAGTTGATCACATACTGTATAATGGTGTAATCATACACGTTTGAAAAAGAGAGGCATTTGTGCAACTGCTGTCCGAGTGTACATGTAATGTTTATGATCATGGAAATTAAAGTTCAACTGTACATTTGTGCTCAAATCATTGGAGTTGATAAATTAAATGCTTACAATACAAAATGTAAATATCCTATTAAAGCCATTTTAATAGCTTTTGGCGAATGTTGGCCCTTTTGTAATGTAAGCTATATTACATCCATCAAGGATGGAGGTCTCTTTTGGGAAGATAGAAAAACAAAGAAAAATAAACTGGTGACTGACATTAGACATGAAGTACAGGCTCACAATGCGTAACCCTGAATGAACAACATATACACCTGCACACACACCTTGTCTAACTGAAATGGCCTGTTCTCCTCCTGCCTGTTCTGTCAAGGGTAATAAAACTAACTTACAACGGCATTTCCTGGCCACAGTATGAAAAGCAGAAGTCCTCCCTCCCTCCTTAACTTCTTCGTTTATATGTGCATACTGAAGAACAAGCGCTTCTCACATCTCACATCAACATAAGGATGTTGATGACTGGGGCACAAATCTCCATACATTTCCATTAGCCAGATATGCACATCAGAGTGATCTGTGAGGAAATAGCCAGCAGATCTATGAATATATAAATCAAACATTTTTTATGAGGAGTGCATTGAAATATGAAACAATAAATGAAATATTTCCTTTCAGGAGAAATACATCAAATTGATGTAGCTGTTATTGTGGTGGGCTCAGGACCATATCTGGACATTTGTGCTTTTGAAAAACAGTTTTTATGAAATGGAATTTGTGGAGATCCTTACAATAAGGTTTTATGAGCTAACATAAAACACTGCAGTCATAGGCAATACAATTATACTTAAAAATTTTTAACTGGAGTATAGAATAACAGATAATGTAAAATGAGAACCAAATGATTTTTGTAAAACATTTTATGTGGTTGCAGCTTAGGCCAGTTGACCCATTTTATTTTAACTTGTCCATATTTTAAGACATATTTTAAGATATAATATTTTTTGTTTTACAGTACAATCAAAGTTTTTGATTGTTTTATAAGACATGGTTAACAAAATAAAAGTACTAGAGTAAAAGAGAAATGTCTCTGTTGAGTCTTTAAATGTACTTTTATTCTAGAGATAAGATTTTGTTAATTTAAATTTGGATGAACCAACCTTTTAAGTCAAGCATCTTATTGGGGCTTTATAGTCAGCATATCGAGGGGTTACAGTGTAACATACAGTAACATACAGTAGCTCACATGTAGCTGCATCACAGTGACTGAAAGAATATAAAAGATGATTAAGTTGCTTATGAATGGCCCAGTCTTAAATTGAGTCGTAATAAGACGAACCTTCCCACAGTTGCAAACTGAATGAAAGAATGCAAACACTACAGTAATACGATTACTGTATAGCACAATATGGGCTGTTACTGTGTGACACATCCATCCAGTGTTGTGATTACACATGCACCAATCTGATGTGCCAAAACCATATCAGACTGTCCTTTTTAAACAGACTGGGTAATGGCCTTGGACAGTACCTGTCCAAATTAAATGCAGCCTTTCACTACTCATTCACAGTCCTGCAATCTGTTACATTCAGTCACAGCAAGCCAGTAATTCAGTTGTTTACCGCCTCAGTACTCCTTGTCCTGACATGAAAATGATTCCAATGAGTTCTATACAGTGATACAAACATCTGATCAGGAAAGAAGAGAATCAGGTAAGTACTCTATACTGGCATGTACCTGGAGTTTAGGTTTCAGAATCAGCACCAGGAGAGAAACAGTTGGATCAATGCATCCCAAGTTGAGGTAATGTAGAGTGGAGACTACTTGGAATCCAGGTTTAACTGGCAGATGTTTGTACTTTCAACCAATTAGTTTGTGATATTACGTTGTTGCCATGTTGTCTTTTTTAATTAATGCAACACTAAGATAAAATACTATACTAACAGATCAAAGGAAAAAAACTATTTTATAAGGGTTTTAAAACCATGCATTCAGATCCAATATTATTTCAAACATAGTGAATAAAAATCCCGGACTGAAAGCTTTCTTTTACCTTAATATACAGTATATTTCACACAGTATAGCAGGTTGCATTGTTTCTAAACTTGAAATATACAGTATGTAATGATCCTTGACTTCTATTTGGTCTTTCTGAGTCTCAGCCTTTTTGGCCAAATGCCATTGAGACACTTACCAAATACTTTGAGGAAGAGCTCTCTTTCCTGAGAGCCTGCCTTGTTGGTGGCTTTGCAGGAGTAGGTACCGCCATCTCCCTGTCGGATGTTGCGGATGGTTAACATGCTACGCCCTCCTTCCAGCCTGCTGAAAATGTACTGCTCTGATGGCTCCAGTGCCTGCCCTTTCCTGTACAAATCAAAAGCAGCACACACCATGGATAAGCAAGTAAAGGTAAATATGGCAACCAATTCACACCAATGACCTCCAATGAATTCACACTACAGCACATTTGATGGTATAGATGTATAATCCTAGCAGTCTAGATGTCACCCAATCCCATAAAAGAGAGGCTAAATGCGGACAGCTTGGCCTCGAAGCTGTTTCTATCTATAACACATTAAAAGGCAAAAACATACTGTTGAAACCCTTTAAAGCAGGATAAAAGTGTTGTTTAACATAGACACCATGTGCCACCAGAACAGCTTCAGTGCTCCTCGGCACTGACTCTCCAAGTCTCTAAACTCTACTGGTGGGATAAACACCGTTCTTCCAAAAGATATTCCCTCATGAAGTGTTGTGATGATGGTGGTGAAGACACTGCCTAACATGTTGCTCAAAAATCTCCCACGGCTGTTCAACTGGGTTGAGATCTAGTGACTGTGAAGCCGCAACATATGATTCACATCACCTTCACCCTAATCAGACCATTCAATGACCCCATGTGCCCAATGGATCCTAGAGGAGATGACTCAGTTATTCAGGTTTTTCCTTTAATTTGTCACTTGTCTGTCAAAATTCTTAATGTTATGAGTTCTCAAACTCTGCCATGATTTCTCAAACTTTGAGTCAATATTTGAGTCTCATCTGAGCTCACTTGTGTTGCTGTGTACATCCTGTTATGGGCTGCAACATTCACCAAATGACTCTAGTGTGGTGTGGAATATAGTGCTGATTTAATGTCTTTTCTTATTGGACTCTGCAGGGAAATTATTTAGAAAAAAGCAACAGCTAAATTGGTCCATGTCTATATTTAAGCTTCATAGCAGAAGCATAATGGTGTAAAGCAGGTCTGCAGCCTCCTCCGCTTGTTGATTTGCACCCGCTTAAACAGCCATGTAATCTATAAAGGCATCGCTTAGTTTTTGGAGAAATTGGACTTTTTTTGCCTGCTTACATAGATTTAGACAAACTCATAAGTGCTGTTTGTTTATGCCATCTGCTCGAAGGCAAAAAAAAAACAAAAAACGACAACAGCTAAATTACTGAATGTCTTTGGGATCAAGCAATGTCACTCCAAAAAAAAACAAACAAAAAAAAAAACAACAAAAAACAACCAAACTTTAAACCCTCAAAAAATGCACCCATGGCTAAATGAAATTACAAATGTACTAAGACGTTTTCTAACTACATCCACAGTCATGTAGGAAAATGCATTTATTTTCTTAAAGCTACATTACTCTTATAAACCCACCACCACCACCTTCCTGCTTAGCATCTAAAGGCTGACAGAAAATGTTAGTGAGTAGTGGGCGGGTACAGTGGTACATTTAGCTGGTTGATTGAGTCCAAAAATGATCTGAAAAAAATGTGAGTACTGAATTTATACTGATCAGGTTACACAAGATGGCTCAAAATGAATGCTAATGCTGCCCCACATTCACTACTGGACATGTAAATGTACAACTGTATGCTAACATATTAGCCCTAAAAACATTTTAAGGTGAAAATATTGCTGTGACTGTGCATATAACTTGTTCCATTATTTTAAGATGCAGAGGTTAGAGAGGGATTCTCTTGATGTTCTTAAGGCGTGTGGCAGTGTGATAACTTGCTTGAATCAGCCAAGAGAATCCAGACAATTAATAAGTAATATTCTCCTTTCTCTTAACAACTACCATTGAGATATTGTTGATCAAAGCATGTAAACTCTAGCTGCTTCAATGACCAGTGGTGGTTGTACTGGGCAGTGAGGGGATGTACTGTATGTGTATGTGAAGCAAGGCAATGCTGGATAAGAGTCTGCATTCTCAACTGAGTTATAAGAACTTAAAAATAAAAATGAAAAGAGGTTATAGCTTTGAATAAAGGAAAACCAAGAACATAGTTGATCTGACAGTTTTGGTAGTTATATTATAAGTTGCAATTTGTTTTAAGCCTGAAGCATGAAACACTGGTATGACAACATTTTTATTGATACTTGTTCATTTGAAATGGGTGATAACGCCCTCAATCAAAAAGTGGCGCCATGTCTTTTAACCTCATAAGCTATTGTGTACATTAAATTCACAAGCAGTGACTGCACAGGGCTTAGAATAATACTTACCGCTAAGTATATTTAGAGACTTTTCTCTATGGCCTTAAAGCGTATGCTCTATGTGAACAAAAAACAACCTTATTATTTTGGGGATTTCAAACGTGGAGATTTGAAACTCAGACAAAAACACACACAAATGCAGCAATACTGTGTAGTGAGGCCTGGGCCCCAGCATCACTATATTGTAGGAAAAGAGGGAGGATAATTGAAAGTCAGCGGAGGAAAAACCAAAGCCAAGTAATAATAACTCTGGCAATCCAAAAAGGAAATGAAGAGAAGCCTCTCTGGAACGGACAGTGTGGCTTGGGCTGCGGCACGGAATGTTGTTATATTAACTGACTGCTGACAGGTAGTCGATTACCCAAGATGCACAAAGGATGAAGCAAAACATCTTGCTGACAGGAAATGCCTCTGGAAGGCAGGAGATAGCTGGGAGGGGCGACATGAAAATAAAATATTAATTGGGTCGTGATTGTTGTTTACACCTGAGCCAATTCTTCGGTTGTGATGTATGCATTTTAATTCTGTATTCTCGGATTAACACACAGGGCTTACTGACCTGGGAAAGGAAAGATAATACCCTGTAAGGTCAAACAAACAGTGGACACGGCAAAGTTTAAAGAAAGCGTTGATGTACCTGCAACTGAAGAGGTGATCTAAAAAGTGAGCTGCAGCTGTCTACCCTTGAAAATGCCTTTGTATTTAAACAATTAGGAGGACGTTACAGTGAAGTGGTGACATACAAAACTGCTTTTGTATATTGCACAGTGGTCCTAGAGAGAGAGCGACTCCTACATATGAATAACATTAATAATAAATTCCATTAAGACCTGAATTACAGCTAATTTAATTGAATCACTGCAATTAGCAGGCTCACTTGCAGCTGCACAGTCAGTGTTGCAATATCTTGTGCAAATATGTTTAAAATGGATTAAGTTTAAATTTGATAAACTGACACACATTTCTATGCAACTGACTAATAGCAAGCCACCTGACAGTGCCGACCTTTTAAGGGAGAGCTGGAGAGTCCAAAATGGAGGACATTATCATAGCTTATTAAGCTTTATATCACCTGAGTTGGATTATAAACTGCTCGACTAGACAGGGATGATTTCTAGGCAATCACAAAATAGGAGAAGATAGTAAACACTTTGCTTGAACCACCAGCAGCTTGTGTTCGCCTTGTTAGCAGTCCAGGTGTCAAGCTTGGTAACGGACAGTACAGACAATATAGAAAGAAGCTTGGAGAGCAGCTAACTAGATTGTTAGCATGTAAACTTCCTGCTACGGTAGCTCCACAGTTAATTCTGCTGTACCACCTTCCATTAGTGTGAAAACAGCTCCTTCAAATTGTGAATGGAGGTTTGACACCAAACACTGCAAAAACAAAAAGATTTTGGGATGAAAATTTCCTAACTGGTTCACAGTCACTTTTGCTTTTAACTATCATAGAACATGAGACTGATCAAGTCTTTTGTAATTGCCTCACATGAACAAAAATGTCAATTTCCTACTACCAAACAAAAAAAGAGACAAACAAAGCTGTCACATGGATGGTCTCAATAAACAAAGTAATGAATGAATCAGTACATCAGCTCCCATCATCACTGTGAATTTTGATGTGTTATATACTGTATCAGTGCTGATAAATCATTAAATTCACATTTTTCAGATTTGCTGTGTTGCTGAAAAAACAAGGTAACACACCTTGGAATAAATATAATTTCTGTTACTGGGGCTGGAAACTAGAGAGCAAGATAAATGAGGTTTACAAAACTGAGGTTGTTTCCAGATGTGCAGCATTTTCTCCAAAGTAATATAATGTCTCTTGGAGACAATGTCACAAAATGCAAGAGTGATGCATTCACCTCACCAGTGTAACACATACTTCACCGTATTGTACAGTGTCCCTGTCTTCAGGTTAAGTGCTGGAATATTGGACCTCTCAGTTGAGGTGATGAATTACTATATGCAAATCTGTATGTTTACCTTTTCGTGCACATTTTCTGACTCATTCACCACTTGATCTGTACAATGCATGTCTTGTGCACCCAAAATAGCATACTTATATAGAGTAAAGACACTGCTTTGTTTAAGTAAAAGAACTCTGCCAGCCTATGATACATTAAATGCTAACAGAAATTACTGAGCAAAGACTAATATAATGACTGATATATGAACCTGGGCAACAATATTGATTGTTTTCTGATTTTAGGCAATCAAGGTGCCTCCTGGTAGTTAAAGTGTTATCCTGGGTGCAAATGCGTCTTACTGTCACTATGTCACTAGGCAAAAATGCTATTTTTGCATATTCATGTAATAAACTGCCTCAGGTATTTCTGACTGTTTGACTGGTCTGACTGGTTTACACCTGCTGGTCATAAGCCCTGTACCTCAGGCAGTTACCATAATACGCACCTCTTAATATTCATAAACACTCAGCTACAGCAGACTTCTCTAGTGTGCAATAAAGACTGCAAAACATGGTAGTTAAAGAGAGGCAATAATAGCTTGAAATTTCTAAGAATGAAGGCTGAATGTGAGTGTTTAAAACCTAATACTTAAACACTGCTATGTGTCATTAGGTTCAGTGCAGAGCTATACTTACAGTAAGTGTTATTTTACCCACCACCATTTTACTCCTCCCTTTTTTGTCATTGTTGAAGCTATATTTAAGGAAAACAGACTTGTTATACTGAATGACATAAACAATATTCATATTTTAAGGACATATTTGGCATGTTTTAGACCCACTACTACAAATCAAATTTGTCTACAATCAATTTTTATCGGCCAAATTTTGGAGTGTTTTTCTAAACCTCCTTGCAGGCAGCCATTGATTTACATTCATGTCAGTAAAGCATGAAAAACAACTTACAGAAACCTGCCTGTAGTAGGTAATACATCACTGTAAGAACAATGTGTGATGTCTCTTTACAACCATGTCTCTCATCAAAGTTACATCATTGTTGCATGGTAATGCAAGTGCAACCTGGTTTAGGTAATTTCATTATCATCCCACAATAGGGTGCCTTAAAAAATAAACAAAAGGCCAAGGAAGTCCAAGCAAAAGTATTTTTACAGTGTAGTGAAATGAATAGCTGCATAGAAGGTATGAAGTGCACATACCAAAAACAGTATGCTTTAGGTCAGTGGTATTCTAAGTGATCTGTACAAATCAGGCTACAATATCTAAGAAACCACTGATATGGTCCATTAAGATGAATTCATTATAAGAAAAAAAACAAGTGTGAATTGCAGGGAAAACGATGAATATCGGTGGAATGCCAACAGAGTGTTACCAATAGATGCTCAGGTGCAAATAGCCTGTCATCATTGCCATTAAATGGGTGCAAGATAGTTACTTGATGTCAAGCTGTAAAGTGGATAGTGGGGTGTCAAATGCTCTCCAGGTGCAAATTTTCACACTGTTGCTATGTGGCATTATTGTGGTTACTGAGGGTAATGTGAGAGGGCGGACTATAAATTTCCCAGTTAGAACTGTGAAATAATATCTGCTTCATCTGTGATCAGTACATTACAACTGCATGTTTTTCCCAAAGAAACATTAACACACACAAACAGGCACAAACAAAGACTGAATACATTTGTAAGAAGACAGCACCCAGTGAGCACAGACCTCGGCCAAGGCAGCTCAGTCTCCCCATAATGCCATTACACCTAAAAGCAATACTGCAATCAAAGCCTGACCTCATAATAAGATTGCTTGACCATGAAAACATACCGCTGGCATTTGGATTGATATCACTATTAGTTTGAAAGTAATTCAAGAAAAACAATAGACACGAGCTAACTAAATGCCAGGAATGGCTAAATAAATGTTCCATGCAGACTGAAATAACAATATGCACTTAACAGTCCTTCATAGATGCACACAGCTCACACCATTTCACAATATGTAAGTCCACTTTACAGTTTGTTTTCCAGTATGCTTCCTGCTATACTTAGCTCCACTTGTCTTCACTCTAAGTGCTCAGCAGCGCACTTTCACCATATGGGGCCTCTCATATGCAATCAACAGTCTTTCAAACACTCACAATGGTAAGGAATCCTTTTAAAAATATTCCTGGATCCAGATGATGATCAGCACCAAAATAGAAGAAATTGTTCCATAGGCCATACCCTATCTCTGCACAACATTTTGTCCAAATCCATTCATTACTTTTTGAGTTATGCTGTGAACAAACTAACAAAAACACTACCTCCACCTTGGTAATGCCTTATGAGTACCAGCACATCTGGCAGTTAAGTTAAATCTGCAGAGCTACACTTGAATGAAGTGGTTCATGGAAACCATAAACACAGTCTCCTACTTGTTTTCTCATATATTCTTGTCATGATTCTGTCCCGTCTGCTTCCTGTATCATGCTCTTATTCTGATACTACTTCCTGTCCCCAGCTCACCCTGACTCCCGGGAGCTTTATCTCATCACCCACATTGGTTTCACCTGCTCCTTAATTACTCACATCTGCTTACAACAGCATATAGCAGCTTCTCACCCAGTGGGACTGTTCTACACCTTGCCTAGACTCTCCAGCCTTTTCTTTTCTAATGCCTGCTATTATGAGATCGAGACCCTGCCTGTATTACCAACCAAAGATTCTGCCTTGCCCTACCTGTGGGACTGCTGTAGACCTCGACTGTGGACCGAACCAAGTAACTGCTCTCTGCCTGATCCCTCGATACTGTGAGCTGTTCCATTCTGACTTTGTTTCTCCAACACCTGAGCTCCCTGAAGACGACAATAAATTCTGTCTACCTTGCTTCTGCCTGCTGGCTCTTTAATCGGGTTCACATCCCCACATCTCACGGGAGCATTAAACACCACTCCCTGACAATTCTATTGTCAAATGTATGTGTACTTTTGGTTTGGAGTATTTGCAGTATTTTGGTTGGGCCCCACTAAGAAATATCTTAATGCCATAAACAATATATTAGACAATAGACAACAGACAGAGACAGATTTAAAAAAAAAAAAAAAAAAAAGAATAGAAGGTACCTGTGCCATGTGACTACAGGGTCAGGAGATCCCGAGGTGATGCAAGTAAAGGTGACTGATTCCTGGTCATCAGCTGTGGCATTGAAGGACTGCTGGGATACTGACAACACCGGAGGGACTGCAGATATAAAAGCAGAGCAAGAAAAAACACAGTCAAATAGGAGTGCTGTCATTAGACCCTCAGATCCTTGATAAGATGAAGCCAGACTAAAAGCTACAACCCAACTGTATTGCAAAAGAAATGTCCGTCTTTATGAAGCCCGATGGTGAAGGCTAACATTTTCAAATGAAATAAATGGGCATTGTGAATGGCCTGTAAGTATTCACTGAAAATGCTACTTCTGTTAGTAAACCCATGGGGATTTCAAGCAGCATTTTAACCCAGCTTTGATGGAAGCATAAAGGACTTGAACAGAGTGATGTGAAGCCATAATATTATTGTCTTATCCAGAAATGCTCGGATAAACCCATACGAACAATGGTAAAACAGAAAATGTGTTTCAGTATAAATACAATTGTATCAACTAATAAAAACAGCTCTTTTCTTTTGGGGGTAAACTGCTCAACTGCTTGAGTTCTAGCCACTGTCATGCTCAGCCCACTTCTGCAGAACGGCTTCATATATCATGGAAACTGACCGAGCTTGTCCTCTCCAGGAATGACCAATATACTACAAA